ACGGGAATGGGTGAAGAAAAAAGACTGACAGTGCCAGACATTGACAGATGTACTGCTATCCTGCTTCTGACATCCACATTACATACTAGGTGCTCTGGAAAAAAGAAATAATGCTTTATAGTTACAAAGCGCTCTCACATTTGTTACCCCATTTGACCTCCAAAATAATTTCATAGGGTTACATCTTTATTTTTTTTACTGTATTTTTAAGTAATCTCTACACCCAACGTGTGGGACTCGAACTCACAACCCCAAGATCAAGAGTCTCATGCTCCACCAACTGAGTCGGCCAGGCACCCCTCAAAGGGTTCCTTCTGAGTGGGGATTTGGGAGAGAGAAGCAGCTCATTCATCTCTGCCTAGCATAGACATAAATATGTCTGTTTGGATTACTGTAGTGACAGAGAGGGAGAGAGAGAGAGAACGGAGGCTAATCATAACCAGCCTTTATCTATTCCTTTTTTCATTTGTGGGGGAACCTGACATACTGTACAATAAATTAAGCACCTTAGAGATAAAACTATGAATTACTTATCTTTTACTACAGTTTTGGCCACTATTCTTCCTTCAAGTACCAGATATGCGTTCCAGCTAAAATGACTGCAGTTCTCAAAATCTAGCTTTTCCACTGAGCAAAAGTAACTCCTCAAAGTAGTAACTGTCACCAAGGAAGGAGTATTTGAACTGACCCCATCAAGACAAGTGGAGTCCTTTTTGTCTTGCCTGGATGTAGTTTTTCCCTCCAGCCTTTAGGGCCTCATTTCAGATTCTAGACCTTCTCTCTCTTCCTATTTCCAGGAGGCTGTTTACCTGTAGCAGGTGATACGGTGTGGTGAGTCACATGCCTCAGAGAGCCACGCTTCTGGGCAAGGTTCGGGGGGGTGGGGGCTAAAATTTCAAGTGATGGGATTCCAGATGGAATGCATCACTGACCCTGCAGCAGTATTCTGCAGAAAGACGGCGGGTGAAAAGTAAAATGAGAAATGGCAATGGAGGACTTGCCTTTGATTAATCATTTCTAAGACCTCTGACTCATTCACCCAGTGGCTTTGATGGACCAAAGGCTGAGAATATACAACTTTTTCTTTCATTTATTTTGTCTATATAACTTTGCCCTGTAACCACAATGAGAAGGCTGGCTCACACTTGCCACCAGAAGGGTTTGAGATGCAAAGATCACCTCACCTCTTAGAGATTGTGAGACAGCGTTTTCTGCGTTTTCTTCCCTCACCGGGAGGATCCCTGTGAGAAGGGTAAATGCAGAAGGATGGTCCACATGACCTCTTCAGATCACCAGTGACAGTCACAGAACTAAGTGGTGGTTAATTCACTTAGGACCGTGTGTACATTCGCTTTCTTTAAATGGGAACATACCTATTAAAAATGAGACTGGGCTCTTCATGAAGGTACTAGGAGCAGGGTGGAAAACAGTGAAATCATGGTGTGTGGTGCGTGAAACTATATGGAAAAATGCCAAAGAACTGTTGCAAAATTAAGTGCTGAGGAAAGCTAGGAGAGCACTGCTGAAAGATAAGGGAGCGCTTTTGGGCGGTGTTAAGCCGCGAGCAGAGTGGCGGCGAGAGGTGATGGGCTCGGGCCACCCAGCCGCAGCGGGCGCTGGGGCGGGGGCGGGGGGGGGGCAGGGGCAGGGGCTGCGGGCTGGAAGGGGTGCCTCTCTCAGCCTTGCCTCTGCCGCCTGCAGCTCCCTGCACAGGCCAGGGCGGTTCTTCTCGTGGGGTAGGCGAGGGGGTTCAGAACGGCCTCGCGTGTGACGCGCCCGGCGCAGTACCGTGCTCCTTTCTGGAGGCCCCTGTCAGCCCGCGGGCCTGCTCGTCCAGTCGGAAATCACAGTCTGGTGGAGGAGACCAGTACTGGTGGTACATAATGCAGATAACGCTTCTACCTGCTCCAGGGACAGGGTTGAGCAAGTGATTGCTTATGCTTGGAGGTAGAGGATGGTAAGGAACAGCTTTAAAAGATGCACCGGGACGCCTGGGTGGCTCAGTCGGTTAAGCGTCTGCCTTCGGCTCAGGTCATGATCCCGGGGTCCTGGGATCGAGCTCCACATCGGGCTCCCTGCTCGGCGGGAAGCCTGCTTCTCCCTCTTGCCTCCCTGCCCCCACTCATATTCTTTCTCTCTCAAATAAATAAAATCTTTTTTTTTTTTAAGATTTTATTTATTTGACACAGAGAGAGAGACACAGCGAGAGAGGGGACACAAGCAGGGGGAGCAGAAGAGGGAGAAGCAGGCTTCCCGCGGAGCAGGGAGCCGGATGCAGGGCTCGATCCCAGGACCCCGGGATCATGACCTGAGCCGAAGGCAGACACTTAACCAACTGAGCCACCCAGGCACCCCAGATAAAATCTTTTTTACAAATATGCCATTTGTGCAGAGTTAGAAGGATAAATGGGAGCAGGAGCTTTGCCAGGTTGCAGTAGGAAGCCTGTCAGACAGCGTGAACAACGCAGCCAAGCCCAGAGGCTTAACTGCATGGGGCCCACTGGGAACAAGGGAAGTTTGGCTGAGTGGATCCAAGAGTGGGGAGGGGAACAGGGAGAAGAGATTGGAGAGGTGAATTAGAGCCGGAGTACAGCTTAGTCGTAAAGGCAGTGGCACAGTGTTGGAAATGCATAAGCTGGCAAGTCAGGAAAGTAAATGTCTGGAGGACGTCAAGGGGATCTGGCGGATGGTAGGGAGACTAGCTACCAGCCCTTTCATTTATGTGGAAGGAAAACCAGGAGGACCTGAACTGGAGTGGATTCAGTAGGACCTGACAGGGTTCTTGAGTGAAAAATTATAATGTGGGTAACTCCCGGGTGTCTGGCTTGAGTGACTGGTGCATTCCCAAGGGAGAGTCGGGAAGAAGATGATGAATTCATTCCTGAATCAGGTTAAGGTTCGAATAAAATTATGTGAAACATGGAACAGTATTTAAGGTTACTGCAGGACACCTGTGATGTTCTCCCCATCCCACCTTAAAACCCTCCAGGGGCTCCCCTGTTCCCAGCAGCTCCAGCCTGGCCCCTGCACTGTCACCTCTCAGCCCTGCCTCCTAACACGCTTGCTGCAGCCTGAGCAGCTGCAGTTCCTTTCCCTTGCTAGGCTGTGTTCTACTTCTTCGTGCCTCTCACGAGAACACCTTTGCCCCTCTCTTGCCTTTCGCCTGGACAATTTCGAGACTCACTGAACGGTAAGATCTTTGAAGAAGCCTCCCCTGACATTCTGTACCACCACCACCAGGGAGGGTCAGTATAAATCTGTCAAGAGCTGATTATAATGATCGGTATGCATGTCACCTCCTCCACCACTATGTCCCCCAGGGCAGGAGGCATCTGTCTATCCACTATGCCCGACCCCAGTGGAAAATAGGACATCAGTAAACGTTTGTTAAATGAACAGATCTCAGTGGGGACATCCAGCCTTATATCTACCATTGACTCCCCCATCCTTTGTTCCACGCACTCCATTATCAAAAGGCTAGAGGTTCAGTGATCTAGGTCCATGGTGCGTGGCTTGGTTATGTGTGTGAAATGGAAAAGAAAAGGAGAAAGAACACGGAGGCCTAGAAGAGAATGGCCACTGAAGGTTTGGGGAGTGAAATGGAACTCCCCAGTGGTCAAGGATGCCAGTTTACGAGAGCCTGGCCTAGACACCTGTTTCCCTTCCTCTTTCTAAACTACTGGGCCCTATTTTCTATCACCATCTGGTGGCCATATCCATAAATAACAAGCTCCCCAGGAGCTACATATATGCTTGTATGAGGCAAAAGTTCCAGCAGATTGGCTTCAGGAGGGCTATGAGCGCCTCACCCGCCCCAGTTATATCATGCAAATTTGTATGTATACGAGATTTGCCTCATGCCGGTCAGAAGTGCCAAGAACCTTGAATCAGATTCTTGAAGAAGCTTATAACTTTCAGAAGGCTGAGAATCACGACTGTAAAGGATTGTTCTAGAACAGTGATTCTATGAAATCCTATGAAGAATCATAATGTGAGATACGTGGATCCCTACTTGCTCAGAACCTCACCTTCCACTTTCCCACACCGCCCACCTCCACACAACACAGAATCCAGCTTGAAAATGACGTTCATTAGGCTGGTGGCTTTATGAACTTCAGAGTTGGATGAACCCCGGAGAGCCAGAGACTCTCCAGGCCATGCCTTCGGGTGGGGGCTGAGTGGAGCTCACACAAATCCTTCCAGTCCCAGATCTATTTTTACTGTTTAGTCTTGCCTTATTTCCCAAAACCTACATTTTAAAACAGTAATCCTCAAAACTTTTTCTGTCTATAATATAGTTCCCAAATGGGAAGCCATTTTTCCTATAAAATTTTGGTCTTCTGGAAAGAGCTATTTCCCCCCTAAATGCCTTTCAACAAACCATAATACCTGAGAGAAAATACCCAGGTAGCTTCCATGGGAACCGTTCTTTATAACGTATCACTTGCACAGCCATTAGCGGACTGGCTTTACAGCGGGAAGACGGAGACTCGGGTGAAGTGACCTGTTTGCTAGTGTATGACACCAGTTTAAGGGTTCTTTCCATTGTCCCACAGCTTTCGTATGCAAATGTGTACACTCTGGGGTACTTAAAGCAACGAACAGGCGGGTGGTACAGCTGCCGTGTTCATGCAGAGGGGTGAGGGGTAAGAGCGACCTCCGCTAATCATAGCCGTCCGGGGGTAGGGCGAGGCTAAAGGCTAACATGGATGGAACATCTGTATATTAGATCTCCTGGGGTCTAATGTCTGAACAACCTTCGTCGTATGTTTTTAATCACCATTTTTGCAAATGCATTAACCAAAGCTCAGAAAGAGAAAGTCCCTCATGCCAAGTCACACAGCTAGTGAACGAGGATACACCTCAGGCCTGCCGGCCTCCTCAGCCTGGTTTACCAGCCAGCTGAATGGGGCTTTGAACACGCCAGCTTGCCTCCCCGGGTGGGCAGTCCTGGCCCCCTCTAACCTGCCCCATCCCTTCCCTTCTTCTCTCTCTCTTAGGAGTGCCAGCTTCTCTCAGGGCACCAGGGCCTCATTTCTCATGAGGAGCGACACAGCTGTACAGAAGCTTGCCCAGGGCAACGGACACTGTGTCAATGGGGTCAGTGGTCAAGTCCACGGCTTCTATAGCCTCCCCAAGCCAAGCCGGCACAATACGGAATTCAGAGACAGTACCTACGACCTCCCCCGGAGCCTAGCCTCCCACGGTCACACTAAGGGCAGCCTCACAGGCTCTGAGACCGATAACGAGGACGTATACACCTTCAAGACGCCCAGCAACACCCTGTGTCGGGAGTTCGGGGACCTCCTAGTGGACAATATGGACGTTCCAGCCACCCCGCTCTCAGCCTACCAGATCCCTAGGACGTTCACGTTGGACAAGAACCACAATGCCATGGCAGTGGCCACTCCTGGGGACTCGGCCATCGCCCCCCCTCCCCGGCCACCCAAGCCAAGTCAGGCAGAAACCCCTCGATGGGGCAGCCCTCAGCAGAGACCTCCAATCAGCGAAAGCAGCAGATCCATCTCTGCCGCGGCCACCATCCCCAGGCGCAACACCCTCCCAGCCATGGACAACAGCCGACTGCACCGAGGTTGGTATAATCCCTGGCTGTGACCCTGGGGAGAGGGAGGTAGCTTGGGAGTTCTCAGTAATTTGCCAGTCCTTGGTCATCCACACCGAGGAGATGTAAGGCCCACCCAGGTCACTGATACTCACAGGTTTAGGGATCTTGTACCCAAACCCCTTCCTGGCTGGTCCTCCAGCACTGGAGGCTATTTGTGGATGCCCGCAATGCAAGAGTGTAGCAGACCCTGCTTGAGAGCGGTTACTGTTCTACTCAGGGAGCTGGAACATTCTTGGTTAACCACAACACAACTTATTATGGGTTTGGAAGTCCAAATCATAGTATTTGATTCATTTTTATATAAATCAAAGACAGAAAAAATAAATTTAGAGGACCAGTTCAAACTGGAGCCAAACCTATGTGGACTAAGAGACTATTAAAACAAATTTTGAGCTAATAAATTTTTTTTTAAAGATTTTATTTATTTATTTGACAGAGAGAGACACAGCAAGAGAGGGAACACAAGCAGGGGGAGTGGGAGAGGGAGAAGCAGGCTTCCCGCGGAGCAGGGAGCCCAATGAGGGGCTCGATCCCAGGCCCCTGGGACCATGACCTGAGCCGAAGGCAGACACTTAATGACTGAGCCACCCAGGTGCCCTGAGCTACTAAATATTTTCTAAGCCACACATGAATCTCTTTGGTTAAAATCTGGATTTCTCTCTGAAGTGTATAAATTTTATTGTCACTAATTTCCCTTGAGCATATTCCAACCCTGAATAAGCTTCCTCTGTGTGACGAAAAAGTATAGTCATATTAATTCCTTTCATTTTGTATCGTGCTGTATAGCTTGCAAAGCCTGCTCCTATCCATCCTATTGTCTAAGTCACGTAGTGACCCTGAGAGTGTGGTGGGACAGAGCCTCAGTGTCTCCATTTCACATGAGGCCCATGGTAGTTAGGAGACTTACTAAGGTTTGCAAGTTCAGTCGGGGACAGAGGTGGGACTTGGACCTGGGATCCTGAGTTTGGGCTCAGTACTCTTTCAGTCCATCAGCTACTGGATCAATCACCTGTGCTTTGGAATTGAAATGAAACTGACGTACATAAAACATGTCCCTACTCTTCAGAGAGCTCACATCTAGTTGGAGAAATAAAACCAACATATATAAATTAGTCCAATATCATTATTCCTATAGTATTCATAGACGCGATGGCAGGGATGAGTGGGACAGGAGTTGAGTGCTGAAGGAGTTAGAGGAGAGGGGCGTACCTGAGGGAAGGAGTAGTTAGTTAAGGAGGGATCCTCTGTAGGTGCCAACACTGGAGTTAGATCTAGAAGCCTAGGAGGAGTTTTTGAACGGAGGAATGATGGGATGGAAGTAATACCTTATCACTTGGGTTTGAGAGTAGTATCTTCTGCTGAGGGTTTGGGGAAGTATCAGCACATGGATCTCCTTTCCTCTCTCGTAGCTTCTTCCTGTGAGTCCTACGAGTACCCGCAGCGTGGTGGAGAGAGTGCAGGCCGGTCTGCCGAGTCCATGAGTGATACGGTCAGTTCTTTCCTGGTGAGTGGGGGTTAGCCAGGGGTCCTCAGGCCTGCCTGGGTGGGTTAAGGTCACACTCCAGGGAACAAAAAGTACAGCTCACAAGAGTGATGGCTTCTCCCTCTTAGGGACCTGCCTGTTTCTTGTCTCCGTCCAGATGCCTGGGTTGGGTTTTCAGAAAGTAAGATACAGGTGTCTGGTGTGGAAGAAGTGAGTGTACTTAGAGAGCTAGACCACAAGGCTCGCCAGCCCTCCAAGTCAGTAGGACGGGTCTAGAATGCAGAGGCCCCAGGCCCTGGGATGGGGAACCTGAGGCAGCAGGCTTGTCCGTGAGACTCCACCCGAAGGAGGGGCTGCAGCGTGGGACTGCGGGTAGGGGCGGTGCTCAGAGGCCGTCCTGGTGGCAGAAGTACGGTCTGAGTGCAGGATCCCAGGCTGCCCTCTGCAGGGGGCTGACCACAGCTCGCCAAGCAGATGAGGGCCTGGCGTTGCACCCACTGAAATGATGGAACTTGGGTAACCAAAGCAGAGGCAGCTTCCTTGTCTGTGTGGACAGGCGGGCCAGGGGTAGGAGACTCCTGGCAGGAGTAGGGGGCCAGGATGACGGCATTGTACACCTTGGCGGCAGCTCCGACTGCAGCTGGCGGTCACCCTGCAAGCTGGCCTGGGGAGCACACTGGCCCAGACCTCACTGGCCAGGGCCCAGGCTTCTCCTGGGCTCCTGGCCCTGCTCGGGCTTCAGATGCCGCCGGCCCGCAAATGGGGAGTGTGGACCTGAGATGAAGAGCAGGTCCTAAACCAAACCCATACGCTCCATGGCTTGTGCCACCCTCAGCGTGGTCAGGCCCCCACAAAGCCTTCTGCACCCAGCCACCAGGGGTATTTGATACCAGAGGACTGTGACAGATTTCCAGTGGGTCCCAAGGGATTGTGGAAACTAGAAGGGACCCACAGACCTCGTTGCTTTCCGGCTCCCACTGTGCCTTCCTGCTTGGTTTCCCCAGGGCCTGCCTTACTAGCTTCCTGGGGCAGCTAACTCAGTTATAACTCTCCTCGCCTTGCATACAGATTCTCACTCCCTTCCTGTTTCTTCCATTCCCCCTCCTAGCCAGGGAAAACCGCTGTGGGTCGGTCCGAGAGCACCAATTCTGAGGACAACTACGTCCCCATGAATCCAGGGTCCTCCACCTTGCTGGCCACGGAGCGGGCAAGTGATAACTCCCAGAGTGTCTACATCCCCATGAGCCCGGGCCCCCACCACTTTGAGGCGCTTGGCTACCCCTCAGCAGCCCTTTCTATGCACCGGGGCCCCAGCCGAGGGAGTGAGATCCAGCCACCTCCCGTCAACCGCAACCTCAAACCTGACCGGAAAGGTGAGTCTCCTCTCTCCCCGTCCCGTCTCTGGACGGTGTCCAGGAACTGTTTGCGTTCATTTAGGGATCGAGTGGATCCTGAACTTTCCTTGCCAGGAAGTGTTAGCCTCTGGGGGCCTAAACCTCCCCCAGCTCTCATACACATACACAAACGCTCAAATTCGTGCCCGTGGCCCAGCAGCCCAGGGGCTGGCGGCCAGAGTAGCCTGGATGGGCAGGGGTGCGGGCGCCAGCAGGACAGGACACATTCCGGTGCCGGCTCTGCCACCTGGGATTAGAAGCAAATCATTCTGTGTGTCTGAGCCTTGTTTCTCATCTGAGAACTGTGAATACTTGCAGAGCACTGAGCAGCACAGATAATACGCCTAAAAGTGCCTTGTAAAGTGTAAACTGCTTTTGGAGGACGTGGGAGGAGGACTGGATCTGGCGGAGCGGTCTGTTACAAGATAACTCGGCTGGACGAGAAAGGCGTGAGCTCTCCGACCGGCTACATGCGGGTTGGAATCCTTATTCAGCGCTTCCTCGGGAGGGGCTTTGGGTAAATCATTTCCGTTTCTCTGAGCTCAGTTTTCTTAGCTGTGAGATGGGGACAGTGGTGTGTTCTGGAGGAAAGCATCTGGACACCGGGTCTGGTATGCAGCAGACGTTCAGGAAGCCTAGATCCGTGCCCTCTGCTCCCTCAGGCTGCTGGCCAGGGGCCAGTGGCAGGAATCCAGAGGGAGAAGTCGAGCAACCGGGCAGGATACCCCAGCCCCCCAACTTGGTCTGGTCAGCGGCGAGTTCAGACCTTAGCATTTGAAGTGAAGCCTTAAAGGGCTTTGTGCATTCGCCTTCCTCCCCTGCGGGCTCTACAGCCTGGTCCGCGAGTGGCAGTGACGTCCTCCGCCTCAGTTACCGTCTCTTGTTTTTATGTACAGCCACACATCTGGGGAGAGCAGTCTCTTGTCAGACCCAGTGTCTCCATTTTGGGTTCTGAAAATATGATTACTCCAGAATATGCTTGCAAAGAAAATAATCATTCAGAATCTGAAGACATGACTTCAGGGCCTAGCAACATAGGCAAAGACCACAGAAGCTGCTGGGCCTCAGGTTCCCTGTGTAAAAGCGGGAATGCGAAAGCCTTCGTGAATATACGGGTGTGGTGTGTGGCCGCGTGTGGCCGCGTGTGGCCGCGTGTGGCCGCGCGCCATTAGCAGCAGCAGGGGCTGATCGCTTGCCTTTCTGTTCCTGCTGCAGTGAAGCCAACACCACTTGACCTGAGAAACAACACCGTCATTGACGAGCTCCCCTTCAAGTCACCTGTCACCAAGTCTTGGTCGAGGGCCATGTGAGTGTCCACCTGGGGAGGCGGGAGCGTGGCGCGGGGTTGCGAGGGCTGAGTCGGGAGCTGCAGCCCGATGCTCGCGCCGGCGGTGGCCGAGAGGTCTCTGGGGCCTCGGTCTCCTCGTCTGTGAAGGGGGAGTCATCGCGCCTTCCCCGTAGCAGACCTTCCTCTGCCGATGGAGGGCGGAGTCTGGGGCCGGGAGCCTGAGCGCTTCCCCAGGTCACGGTCCTCTCCCCACCGCAGCCACACCGTCAACTGCGGCTCCTCCCAGTACTGCCGCCCCATCTCCACCCAGAGCATCACCAGCACGGACTCCGGAGACAGCGAAGAGAACTACGTCCCCATGGTGAGTCGTCCGCGCTCCACGGGAGTGACTGCTGCCCGAGTGCCCGGGCCCCCCGCAGGCGCCCCCTTTGCTGCCGCCATCCTTCCTGTGCGCAGTGGGGTCACACGGGCCCTGCCCTCGGGGAGGCCGGCTGCGCCGTGGGTGGAGAGGCGGTGCTGTGGGGACAGCCTCGCAGGGAGAAGGGCGGTGGCTGGCGGGGGCACAGAGGAGGAGGAGGGCGGTTGACCAAGGCTCCAGGTGGAGGTTGGGCTGGATCCAGCTCTGAATGACCCCGAATGCTGTCTGGGGAAGTCCACAGGGAGCCCCAGAAGGTTTAAAGGGCCAGCGGACGAGGCCAGTGCCTCAGCACCGTCCCTGGGAGCCTACAGAGAGTGACTAGGGCAACCTTCAAGGTTGACGTCCTTCTTCCGTCCTGTTAAAATCTTTCAAAAGTCAAGAACTCTTCATTCCTGACTGTGCTGTTCCCACGAGCAGGAGCGAGAATGCGAGCGTAAGCATTTATTACCTCCTCAGCGGAGGGGGCACACATGTGCCATGACGTACGGTGCCAAAGGCCAGGCCCGAGACGTAGACACGGTCAGCACGAGAAGCTTCCTCCGTGACATTTTCACTGAAAAGGGAGTCGCTGCCCAGCACCTGTAGCTGCTGCATCAGTAGTGAAAGAACGAATCAGCCGAACAGTCAGCAGCCAAGAAACAGAACACAGGACTGTTGCCATTCTCATTAGGATGAGACTTCAGGAAAATCCTCGACAAGTTGGTCTCGGTGCCCGGGCGGAGGCAGGAGCCTAGAGTGGCTCCGTCGAAGGGCGGCTGCAGGAGCCCGGGGAGGAGGGGCCGGGCCGGGAGATTCAGAGAAGCAGCTTGGGTGCCACCGAAGGCTTCCCAGCATCCGGGGCGTAAAGGAAAGGGGCGCCCTGTTGGGGGCCAGCAGGCAACCACGGGGTCTGTCCGGGAGCCAGTGGGGGAGACCCGGCCGGGCGGCCGGCCTGGGAGGGAGGCACAGCGGGACGAGTGCGGGTCCGGGAGCCGGGTGACAGAGCCGGTTCCCGTCCCCGCTCACCAGCTGTACAACCCCAGCCAAGTCAGGCCACCTCTCTGAACTACAGTTTTATCTTTATTTTAAACAACAAGAAGAGTACGAGTACCTACATCACAGGACCGTTATGAAGGTTTAAATGAGGACATGAGACGCCCAGAGCTGTGGGTTTTCCCGGGTGGTGTGTTAGTCTGTTTCCTCCACTTACTAATGGTTTTTCCCTCCTTTGTGATAGCAAAATCCAGTGTCTGCATCTCCCATTCCCAGTGGCACCAACAGTCCCGCCCCGAAGAAGAGCACGGGCAGCGTTGATTATCTGGCCCTGGACTTCCAGCCGAGCTCCCCCAGCCCCCACCGCAAGGTACCGGGGTGTCCCAGCACTCAGCCTTGTACCGCTTGACTGCTTTTCCTTTAGTCTGGGTCTTAGGGGGCTCGCACGCCTCCTCTCTGTACGCACAGGTGCTTGAGGTCTGTCCGACCTTCTCAGCCAGTCCATCCCCCTTGTGCCGATGAGCAAATGGATGCACACTGAATGACAGAGCCGAGGCTCGGGGATCCTGTGTCCTGGTCCTGAGCTCCCCTTTGAGAACTCAGTGTCTAGGTGCATCCATTGCCCTTGGTACAGGGACCTGCAGAAGGGACTCCCCGGCCCCGGAAAGCCTCCCCAGGAAGCACACTCAGCTGCCCAGTCCAGACAGCAGGGTGGCTGCCAGTGTTCCCTGGCCCCCGGCAAATTCCTTCCCTGGAAGGTGGGTGGAGGCAGAGATGAAGGCCTGGGAAATCAGGAGTGCTGACCCAGGCTGTTGCAGAACAGGCGAGATGATGCAGTTTGGGGTTTAAAGGCCCCTTTCAGAAACAATACAGGCTCCTGAGGCTGGTCCGAGTGGCAGCAGAGGCCCATCTCCCCTTGAGGCAGCTCAGAAAGAGGCCCCCACCCCTGCTCCTCACCATACGGCTAACTCACAGCCACCTCCCTGTTCTGTCCTCAGCCATCCACGTCATCTGTCACTTCCGATGAGAAGGTGGACTACGTTCAAGTGGACAAGGAGAAAACCCAGGCCCTGCAGAACACCATGCAGGAGTGGACAGATGTGCGGCAGTCCTCGGAGCCTTCCAAGGGTGCTAAGCTGTGACGCAGGGGCCACCACGCCTGGGGAGGTGCCCGGAGGCAGCATCTCCAGAGCTGGCTCCTCCCCTCGGTCCCCCCCCCACACACATTTTCTCCTCTTCCAGTGCCCCCTCCTGCCACTCTGGCCTTCAAAGCACTTGATGTCAGGGACCCTGAACCCTTCTGAGAGGTAAGGGCCTGATGGAGGCCCACCCTCTGCCCACTCGGGGCCCACCTTTGATTTGTATCAGTAACGGCCATGCCTCTATCCATCTTAGTTAGAGCTGTTGCCAAAAAGCATCCTTCAGCCTCTTCCTGTCCTTCAGACCCGAATATCTACTAGGCTTTGGGAGGGGCTGGGGCTCTGAGCCAGATTCCACACCTCACTTCCGGTCATAGCCCTCAAGCCCTCTTCCCTCCAGCTCCTGGGCTACCTCTCCTTCAGTCCCAGAAGATGCCACGTTGTCTCACTGATCCAGGGAGCCCAGGACCAGCAGACCAAAGTGGACAGGGACTTCTTCATCCTTGTTTCTTGGTATAGGAGAGGCATGGCCCCCCAGAAGATGGAGTTGAGAAGGAAGGTTAGCAGTGGTCTTGAGGGACACAGGAAGGAGGTCCCCGATGCAGAAGGCAGGTGATCTGGGCAGTGGCCCCGCCACTGTGTAGCCATGGTGGGTTCGGAGAGGCAAGAGGAGGAAGGAGGACGCAAGGGAGGGAAAACAGAGGAGGATGGGCAACCACAAACCAGGAGCAGGGGGTGACCAGGATCCCATGGGGTCAGGGGCCCTAGAACCGTGGGGCGTACAGGCCCTCCTCTGGGGGCGCACCCCGCCAGAGGGGACAGTGCTGGGTGCTGCAGGGTGCGGGTGGAGGCTGGTGCTGAGGGAAGGCAGTGCAGAGTGGGGAGGGAGCGTGGGGCGGACGGGAGGTGCTGTAGCGGGGAGCGTGCAGCAAGTGTGTCTCTGCAAGACAGGTGGTGGGGGGCGGGCAGATAACCAGTGGGCTGAGAGGCCGTGTACAGACCTTGGAGGCAGACAGTGCGGCCAGGGGCAGGCGGGGGGGTGGGGGGGCAAGCCGGGGCAGCTCCTGGGGCTGCAGGCCTGAGCGGAAGTGAAGGAGCCCTGTGAGGGACGTGGGGAAAGCAGTGCAGGGGACCGTGGGGCCAAGAGGACGTGGGGGAGGGCTGGGGCTTCTGCCAGGGCCCAGGCCGGTAGGAGTGTGGTCGCGGGAGCCCCTGGTGTTTTCCCAGCTCATCTTCCAGCGGCCGCTCCCTGGAGGCCCAGAGCCACGTTAGCCTCAGACCTGATCCCTGGGATAGGAGAGGCCAGGCCTCTGCTCCCATGGCTTGGAAGGCCGCCCCATGAGCTGCACCCTCCCCCACCAGACACTTTGTCCTAAGCTGGGGAGGAGAGATCCGAATCTTTTGTGTTGATGGTTCTTGCCCAAATCATCTAGGGTTGCAGAGGTCTCATCCCACCCTGGGGTAACAGACCACCTTCCTTTGAAAAAAAATACTTGCCACCGTGGCTGACGGAGGTGGCTACAGCTCACCTTCGGGCTCCCGCGAGCACATGCCTGGCCAGTCTCAGAAGCCCCACTCCGGTCGGGAGGATTTTCTCCGCAGTAGCCCCTCTCCTAGCAGTTCAACTCCACGAGCACTGATTCTGGGACGGCGGAATTAACCAGTGTGTCCCCGCACTGGAGGCAGGGGTGGGTGGAGACACAAGGGCACAGGACCTAGGTGACGGCCGCGAGAGAGACTGGAAGCAAGGCTGCTGGTTCAGGAGGTTGGTGCAGATCAGAGGAAGGTGGTATCTGGCAGAAAGGGGGTGGTGCTGAGGTGGGCTTGAGGGGCCGGAAGATGGAGCGGATTTCTAGGCAAGGAGGCCAGGGCTGGGGTCCAGTCACCCTGGAGCGCTGGGGCTGATGGCAGTGGCTGACACTGGGTCCCTTGAAGGCCCTCTGCAGGGTCTCGTAGGGCCGAGCTTTGAGGGGTGCTGCCCTGTGCCCCCAGCCCGTGTGTGTGCGAATCAGCACGAGGTGAATGGAGTGGAGTGTTCAACTCTACTGTCCAAGGAGGCCTCCTTCCAGCTCTTGGTTCCTGCAGCTCCCAAGCCCTCAGCGTGGCGGTGGAGACAGACGGGAGTGTTAAGAGGACACTGGCCTGTTGAGGGCAGAGACTCGGGCTCACAGGCTTCAAATGACCGGTGTCTCGTACACACCTGGCAGTTCAGGGGCCTGGCAAGGGCAGACCCAGGACTCCCGGTGCCCGGGCCAGCAGCACCAAGCGGCAGCGAGGGAGGGAGGGTTCCAGGGAGATGGGCTAAGCAAGGTCCCAGGGAGCCACCACCTGTGAAGGGGTGGTCGCGTAGATGGTGGCTGAGGCCCTTGCATGCTGAAGCTGAGCTGTCTCTCTGTGGAGGGCCTGGCTCACTAGGGACGGGCAGCACCCAGAGCGTTAGTCAGGGAGCCCAGTCCCCTCCCCGGGATGGACTTCGGGGACTTCTACATTTGAAACCCTTCAAACATGCCCCATTCCTAGGAGAGAAGCACAACCCTTCCCCTTCCGAAGTGAGTGGAGCAAGGGCTTGCCCCAAGCCCCGGCTGACCCACCCTCCCCACGCCCTTCTGACAAAAGCTCTGGATGCAGTTTGCACTCGTCCGCAACCCGTGAGGCAAGCGGGGCTGGGCCCAGGAGCGCTACAGCTCCCTCCTCCGGGAGCCAGCATTCTGGGACTTTCCAAGCTCCTTGGGCTGCCTGCGGAGGGGCCCCCTCGAGGTGCAGGCTGTCCTGTGATAGTTGGTGGTGTGTAGTCTTGTGTGTTGGTTACACGTGTCTTGAAATTTAGAATCATTTCGCACAGAATTGTCGGGAAGAGAAAAGGGGCTAGCAGCCCAGTCTTAGGTTCTTGCCCTGTTATACCATTTAAAATTGACATTTAATTTTTCAAATCACTGTTGGTGCCTAATCACTTAAGTTATTAATTTATTCTGTTTTCTTTAAAAAAAAATGTAACGTATTTATCCTGTGAGTAGGTCTGGGGTGGGGTGGGAACGTGTTCCGGTGGGTCCTGTTTTTGCTGTGGTGACACTCGGCACAGGCCTGGAGCTTGTAGGGCCCTTTTTACTGTGGTGGTGGAGCAGGACAATAAAGTCCGTTAGAAGCAACCAGAGAAGGCTGCTGGAGCCTGCCTCGTCTGAAGGCGCCGGGGAGGGACCCCACCTGCACAGAATCCCTGCTGGGGGGGGCCACCCACATGGAGGCCCAGACACATCTCTGTCAGGGCCCCCAGAACACTCGGTGCCAGTCTGCTCCCTTCCATTTTAATAGGAAGTAACAGGGCCCTTGTCTTGACCCGGAACAAGAGTAACTCCTCCTTACCTTGGAATGTGTGTTCCTGATTCCACCCTTTTGCCTTAGAAGGTGCACGGAGTGTGCAGACGAACTCTGAGACTACCAGCCCAGTGTCACCTAAGGTTTGATGTCCCAAGGGTCTGGACACTTGGGCCAAAACTCAACTCCTCCACCTACAACACTGGCAGGCGGCCGTCGTGGCCCTCACGGCCCCTGGCCATGCGGCAGCCTCTGTCCCTGCCTTCCCACGTACTTTGTTCCCCCAGATGGGCAGGGTTGGGGTGGAAAGGGCTCCCGTGTGACCTCTCCAGCTCCAAGAATGGGCTGGCACCTGGGGAGATGATGGGGGGCTGCCTCCCCCCTTTCCTCCTGGCAGGTGCCCGAGTCCGTCCCGGGAGGGGCCGCACGCCTGCACCAGGTTCTCCCAGGGAAGGGCTGGGGTGGGGGAGAATGGGGGAGCAGTGGCAGCGAGTTCTGGGCAGTCCGGGGTTCTCGGCGTCTGAAAAATCCCCAGATACAGGGGCTCTGGCTTCACCCAACAGGCGAGTCCCCCTGACTGACAGGAGCTCCTCCGGCAGCCCGGAGTGTGGGTACCTGCCCCTCAGGGTACTGAGCCTGTCCTCCTCCCTGCCGGCGCCGGCCTCTGGGGAAGGGCCCCACTGCTGGGCCAGCTCTCCCCTCGGGGTCCTCCCAGTCCTCACCTTTCACTTGCTGGCGCTTCAGGGTAGCACGCTGTCCCCTCCCGTGGGGCGTCACACGAGCCAACAGGGCACACAGGCTGTACCCTGCTCACAGCCCAGACAGCAAGAAACAAAGGGACGGCCGCCGCCACAGCCACGGAGGCAGAAAGAACAACATCTTTACAGGCTTCAGAGAACCCACTTTATTCCCGTTTGGGTCTCCTCTCTCCATGTGGAAGGGTACAGCAGTGTCCGGGCACACTGACGTCCATAGCTGCTCCTCACCCACCCCCCCACCGCCCCCCGTGCCCAGGCCACGGCTTGAATGCCACAAAGGAGGAGCTGAGCCAGCCAGCTTTCCTCCGGTCCGACGACGGCTTCATGAGAAACACACACACAGTTGCGGTAAAGTAAGGATTCTCTCGCTCAACCAGAAAGGGGATGCAAATGGCGGCATCTCAGGCACTGAGGCAGGCTGGGGAGATGGGGTTTGGGGATGAAGGGTCTCCCGCTGTGGGGGGAGGGGGCTGTCCTGCCCCCTCTGCACCGACAGTCTCTGCCCCCGCGCCAGGCTGCTTCCCACCTACACTCCCCTCAAGTACCAGGGGTGCAGGCAGCCACACCGTGTGCCTCTGAAAGCCCTCAGAGCCCAGAAGGGGCCGCGGGGACACACACGCCCCAGACCCTGCTCTGCTGCTCGTACTACAGAGCGATAGGATGGTCTGAAAGGAGCGAGGAGGGAAATGCTACTTGATGGCAAAGCACTAGAGCTGTGAATCAGCCCCATCACATAGCCTGCTGGGGGGGACGGGGGGACAAGGCCCAGAGTGTCCATCTAAGCTGCTTCAGGTTGACCAGGACACTTGGGTGAGAAATCTGAATGGGGCTGATCCCAGTGTCAGGGGCTTGGCTCTCACCTCTGTATCTGAGTCTCTGCACACCCTTCAGGCTGAGGACCCATGTCCCAGAAGCTTCCTCTCCCCCTTTCCTGCCCTTGGAAGGGCCTGTCTTAGGGGCTGGACCTGCCTCCACAGCCTCCACAGCTTCCCTCAGCCCCCACCTGGCAGAGCGCCTTGGCCTCGGTCCCCACCCGGTTCCCAGAAGGAAAGGGTCAAGGCCTCCCTTGCAGTGAGCTGTGGGGCCCCCGCAGCTGGGAGCAGCCTGGGGCTGGGTCCACACTAGAAGACCAGTCTGTGGAAGTCACCGCCACTGCCACCTGCAGGACTGCAGCCTCCCGGAGAGCCTTCGTCCTCATCCTTGTCTTCATCGAAGCCCCTGCCCCAGTGCGGAGATGCAGGGAGCGCAGAGATGTAGGCCGCCCTGCTGCGGGCCTCCTTCTCCTGCTCCTGGGAACACAGATGCGGGTGGGGAAGGAGGCTTAAAATGCAGGCTCTGAAGCCAGAGTCTTCCTTCACTGTTCCCCCAACCCCACCCCAGTGCCATCCGGCACAGCATTTCTGAGTGTCTCCAACGTGCCCAAGGGCCAAGCACAGAGAAGCCTCAGCTCCTGCCCGCGGGTGTTCCAGCTCCGCAGGAGAATGGCTGGGATGGATCCATCCTTCCACCCTCGATCTAGGCTTCAAAACCACTCTTCTCCCAGTAAAAACTCCTAGCCCCTTGGAAAAAAGGAACTCCTTCACACAAGGCTGAGTAACTGATGAGGGCCTGCCATGGCCCCAGGGAGAAGGAGGTGCAGGGACTCCAAGGATCACGTCACAGCACACAGGGTCCCCCCTGCTGTCCTGACACGGCTGTCCAGCTCACTGCCCCTCAAGGCACGAGGAACGTGCCTCCTCAGGCTGAACGGAGGCCACCGCACAGACGCTCCTTCCCCACGGCCCTGCCTCTGCCTGCAAGGCCCAGCAGAGACGTAAACGCTGGCCCGGTGTCCCCACACGGGACCCCAGGGTACTACTCTAGTGGTTCGTGGCCTCTGCTGTTCCTGCTGCTAAGTATTCTGATACCACCCGACTGTAAAGAGGGGAGTCGAAGGCACACGAGAGGACACGGGCAGCGTGGTCCCCAGGTGCCCCTGGAAGCCTCGACTTTCCACCACGCAACCCCATGGTGCCCCTTTGCACACTGAGGACGAGCGTTGGTAAACAACTGGTGATTACTGAACGCCTGCGCCTCTGAAGTAAGGGGTTCTCTCTACCCACCAGGATATTTCCATCAGGAAGGGGTCAGTGACAGGGTGGCAGGAAAAGGAGGAGACAGGGCGCCTGGGTGGCTCAGTCGGTTGAGCGACTGCCTTCGTCTCAGGTCATGATCCTGGAGTCCCGGGATCGAGTCCCGCATCGGGCTCCCTGCTCGGCAGGGAGTCTGCTTCTCCCTCTGACCCGCCCCCCTCTCATGCTCTCTGTCTCGCATTCTCTCTCTAATAAATAAATAAAATCTTAAAAAAAAAAAAAAAGAAAAAGAAAAGGAGGAGACAGAGCAGAACACCCTCTAAGCCGGTGGCTGTGCAGGGAAGCCCTCCACCCAGGAGATCAGCTCAGAGGCCCGGGGGCCGCTCACCTGCAGGTAAAGGATGTTGTCTTTGGAAATGGCCTCCATCAGATCTTTGTGGAGGGTGGGCTCCGTCCGGCCTCTGGGGGAGCCCGGCTCGGCCTCGGGCGCCTCCCCGGGCCGCTGCCGGTAAAAGAGCACGTAGGCCGTGTCCTTGGGGAAGAAGGAGGTGACGTTGCTGACGGACTCGAAGGAGGAGAAGGACACCCGGGTGTCGTTGAACAGGTACCACTGGTTCTCGGGCTCGGGCCTGTCGGCAGCACCCACGCCCGGGGCCGGCCGGGCGGCACCCTCGCGGGCGTAGCAGTAGTAGTGACCGCTCTCCGAGGACACCCCCGAGTGCACGACGACGCTGCACAGGTCGTAGGCCTGGCCCCGGCCCCCCGCCAGCGGCAGGCGGAGCAGCAAGGGGACGGAGACGTCGTCCAGGATCTTGCGGCGGCGCATGGTGCGCAGGTCGAAGGAGAAGCGCAGCAGGGTGAGGATGAGGTAGCGCGGCCCCTGGCTCAGCTCCACCGCCTTCTCGGCGTCCTGCAGCGAGGCACAGGGCTCGCAGTGGTAGCGGTTCTCGGCCGTCAGCCTCTCGGGGGACAGGAAGTAGTTGACCAGGTCCAGCACAGAGCGGGAGCCCTCCCCGGCGGGGGCGGCGCCACCCCGGTGGGTCCCCGGTCCCGGGCTGTCCTCTTCCTTCTTCGCCGTCTCGGCCTCCTTCTCCTTCTCGGCCTCCTTCTCCTTCTCTGCCTTTTCTTCCTCCTCCTCTTCTTTCTCTTTCTCCTGTTCCTCCTCCTCCTCCTCCCCCCGGGGCCTTTCCTCCTCCTGTGCTTCCTCCTCCCTCTCCACCTTCTCCTCCCCACTGCTCTGCCCCCCAGGTCCCTGGGGGCCCAGGCCTTCAATGTCCAGGACGGAGGGGGGTGCGTCCCCCGTGACACAGTGTTTCCTCTGCCTCCGAGGACCCACCCTGCTTGGAACCTGGGCTTGGGAGGGTGGTGGGGGGTCCCGGCCCCCGATGTCCTCTGCGGGGAGCATCACTGAGCCCAGGCGGCGGCGGCGAAAGCGCTCAGTGGGGGGGAAAGCAAGAGAGAGGTCCGTGAAGGCCTCCTCTCTGGAGGAGACATTGAGGCAGCGGAGACAGCGTATCCGAGTCACGATCTTGCCTCCGAACATCTTCTCCACAGAGGTGGGACTTGGGCTGGGGGGCTCCTCGGGAGGGGAGGGCAAGCTGGACTGCTTGAGCTTTTGGCAGATCCTTGTCCCTGTTTTCTCCTCTTCGTGTAGCCTGGAGCAGAGAGCACAGGGATTTCATACATACGCACAGATCCATTCTCAGCGCTCGGGCCTGATCTGGGCCACCTACCTTATCCAGGATCCACCCGTTTAGACGTGTGTGTGGGTCTGCAGAGTCTGCCCACACACGTGCCAATGACATCCACGCACATGCACTCACAAGCCAAGCACACCTCCCTCCAGACAGGCACACGAACCCACCACGTGGAGATGTGCCGCCTCTCCACGCGCGTGCCCCCAGCGCTGGGCTGAACACGCACACACGCGCACTCGGCAAGCAGAGCACGTGCGCACGCTCGCCCTGACCCCTCCCCAGTCACGGCTCCAATCAGCAGCTCCCAAACGTCCCTCACACGCAGCCCTGGCCACCCCTCGCGGCAACCATCTCCACGCCTTCCTCGGGTGCAGTGGGGCAGCCGGAGAGATGGGCTATTCCTCGGGCACCCTCCTCCGGCTCCCAAGCCCCCATGCGGAGCCCGGTCCAGCCCTCTTACCGATCCAGCAGATACTTCAGATACTCTGAGCAGTCCTGCTGGGTGCCAGGGCTGAACCAGGGTGTCCAGGATGCAGAGAGGAAGTTCTCTGGAGAGATGGCAGGCCGCTAGGACCAAGGCAGGTGAAAGGCAGGGTCAGGAGCAGGAGGCCACTCACTAACCAGCTCTGCCACGTGCTAGGCCTAAGGGTACCTGGGGATTCTCTGTCCCAAACTTCCTGGCCTCCTCCCTAAAGTCCTCCCCATTCCTCGTTGTCCCTGACCCATCCTCTTCCACCAAGTCCATGCAGCCCATAAGCATGGCCTTAGGTTCGTGGAGATGAACAAATCCTCTTCCCCAACACACCTCTTTCTTTCCAGACCCTTATTCATTGCCATTCCCTCTGCCTAAAACACATTTCCTCCATCAAAAGCTTACAGAGTTCAAGACCCAGATGCACAGACACCTGTTCTGTGATGTCTTCCCAGTGGTCCCCTCCCCCACCATAATCAGCTTTTCCCTCCCTTGCATGCACACAACACTGCATTTCCTTCCGTTCAAGCATTACAATTGTTATTTGCAGGTCCACCCTCCCCACCAGACTATGAGCTCCACGAAAGCAAGAACTGTGGCTTCCTCCTTTTCCGTGGCCCCCGCAGAGCCTTGCATAATGCTTGGCCAAGGGTTTTAGGTTCCATGAGGGCAGAGACAATGAGCAAAACAAATACAGCCCTCAGGGTGCCTGGCAATGCAAGTGCTCAAAAAGGACAGCAGATGAGCAAAGCAACACCTAACGCAAGGGCATGAATCACGGACGGGAGAGACCTGGGCATCAGGACACAGAAGGGGGTGCAAGGAAGCACTCCCTCTCCTGTCCCATGAGGCACTAAACGACCATGAACCCACGCCAGCCTCAACAGCTTACACCAGGAAGTAGGGCTTTGTAGCCAGATGCAGGGAAGGGTGTCAGCCCAGAGCCGCCTTCCATCACGCCCAACTCCCCCTGCACTCACCTGGCTGTGCTCCAGGAAGGCGAAGAGCCACTGCAGCTTGGTCATCAGGGGCTGGGAGTTGTTCTCAGTCAATCTGAGCACACAGTGTCTGAAGCTTCAAAATAAAGCAAAATCATCCAGGGTAAGCCAAGGGCATCCAAGGAGCCTCTACTCACCCGCAGCACTGGGAACCAGGGCATCCAGCCTCAAGGCAGAGCAGACGCTTAAAGCTCAGGCCTAGGCCAGAGGCCAGGGAAGAAGCGCAGGTGAACAACCCAGCCTGGACAATGAAGTGAGCCCTGCAGCTCGTTCCAGTTCAGGGAGCCCATGACCCTGAGACTCAAAGATTCCAACGTGCTGAGATCCTACGTTCTCAGAGCGGCGAGGCTGGAACTCTCTGGCATGTGCCAGTCTGCACTAGTATCATCCCCAGCCACTGCAGCTGTTCACGCCCACCTCCTCTTTTCACACCCACCCAGCGCAGCAGGCCTTGCTTCAACCTGACCCCTCCAAGTTCGCTCTCACAGCCCCTTCTCAGGGCCCCCGCACCATGGCCCTAAGCCCACCTGAGTGGTTCCCCTGCCTTCGAATGAGAGAGGCGGGGGTCAATGTGAGAAGTGTGCGGCACAAAATGGACACGGGGGTGTAGGGGGGAGGCGAACAGACGGGCTCCCAACAATGGAGTCTGATCCTGCTGGAGAAGGGAAGGAGCCCCTGCTGACACCCACGTTGCCTTGGAACCAGCCAATCCCCAGGCCTCACCTTAGCTCCTGTTCTCACAAGCAGCTCTAGGCGGCCAGGTCAGGCATCTTTCCAACCTGAGCCCACTGTGCAGAACAGCGTTACCAAAGTGTGCCCCCCCGGTCCCAGCCATCCGTCACAAAGGTTAAGTTCAGAAGCTGAGGGAGCGGTTAGGAACATGTACAGCAATGTGATGTCACTACAACCATGTAAGCACGTGATTGTTCTTCTGGTAAGTGGTCTGACTGTATCTTATAAAAATTAACAGTCTGCAGCAGACTGTAAACTGGAAAACCAGGCCTTCACCAGGTCTGAGAAGCACACACGTTAGGAAGTGCTAGAGATTTAGCTCCCCATACTAGACCTGAAGCTCAGAGAGGAGAAACCTACTTGAGGTCGTACCATAAGCCAGGGCAAAGCCTACCTGCTCTGTTACTTTTTAAAAAAGATGTCTAAGTGTGGTGTGGGTGAAAGATGAGTCAAATGGATCAAAAGAATATAACAGAGAGCCCAGAAATAGGACCCCACAGTGGGGGGGTCAACTGACCTTTGACAAAGTAGCAAAGGCAAAACAAGGGAGCAAAAAACAGTCTTGTCAACAAATGCTGCTGGAACATTTGGACATCCACATGAAAAACACACACACACCTAGACACATACCTCACACTCATCCCAAAAAATTAACTCAAGATGGATCATAGACCTAGATAGAAAATGCAAAACTATAAGATTCTCAGAAGGTAACATAGGAGAAAACCTCTTTGACCTTTGGTATGGTGATGCCTTTTTAGATGCAACACCAAAGACATGATCTGCAAAAATAATTCATAAGCTGGATTTCCTTAAAATTAAAGTCTTCTGCTCTGTGAAAGAAAACATCCAGAGAATTAAAAGACAAGCCAGGGACTTGGAGAAAATATTTGCAAAAGACCCATCCGATAAAGGACTATTGTCCAAAATATACAAAGAATTCTTAAAACTCAATAATAATTATTGAAAACTAACAACCGATTTAAAAATGGGCCAAATACAGAGAGAGGGAGGGTCCAAGTTGATGGCATAGTGAGATCGAACTCCACAGACACACCCAATCCACAGCTACCTATGGATCCGTTCCCTCTGAAAAAGATCTGTAAACTAGAGGAACTGCTTTTCCACAACAATGGACAGGAGGACCACCCTGAGATGCCTAGGAGGGGTAGAGACAGGGTCTTGCAAAAAACCCCACCCGGGGGACAAAGACACACAACAGGGAGGGGCGTCCCCAGACAGGTGCTTCTGCCAGGGGAATCTGGCACCCCGGAGCCTGGGATCTGCACTGGAGAGAGAGGAGCCTCCAGAACATGTGACTGGCAAAACCAGGGGTCCTGAAATGCTCTAATAAACTGAGCTTCCCCACTCCCCCCTGCCCCCCACCCCCCGGAGGGCTTGACCTGAGCTCCAGTAAAAAAAAAAAAAAAAAAAAAAAAAAACAGCAGTTTGCAAAGTGCCTACACTGTATGTCAGATCAATTTATTTGCTGATCTGGAGACACCAGCTGGAGGAGCAGGGGCAGCTGAGCAGCTCCCTGGTGACGGGGGCCCCAGGGGCTACCACTGTTGCGCCGCCCGCAGACGGCCAGCACGGGCAGGCGCAGTGGCCCAGGCCCCCACCCCCCCACCACCTTGCTGGGACGGACAAGAGCAAGTGCGGTCACGGCGCCAGCTGGGTCGGACAGTGCCGGCGGTGGCAGGGTTCCCTGGCTGGGACTCACGCGCAGCGGTCACGGAGTTCTCGCCTTCCAGAGAGAGAATCTGCTCGTGCAGGCGGCTGCCACGGGCCCGGCCCCCAGAGCTGGCACGTGGGTGCAGACAGGGCGCTTTCCCACCGCTGCTGAAGCCCGAGGGCGCAGGCGGCCACGCCGCTTTCCTGCAGTCTCTCCGAAGCCAGCTTGTAAACAAGCCCACCCCCTCCATTCTGGCTGCCTTGCTCAAGCAAGTGGGTCCACACGGTCCACACAGGGGGTGCCCTTGATCACCCGGCCCTGGTGGCCCAAGAGGGCTACTGTTAGCAAGCTCCGCAGAAAGCTCACACACAGAAAGACAATTCCTGGCAGGCCACCACCCCCAGGGCGCTGCACGGACAAGACACTGAAACACACCCCGATTCTGCCTGTGAAAAGGCCAAATACTTAGCCTGGAGCATCAGCCTGAGGGACAGGCTTCAGGTTTCCCATCTATCTAGAGGCTGAGAAAGCACTCCCGGGGAACAGGAGCAAGGAGACGGATCTTGGCGCACACACTTCGCCTCACTCTAGCTGGAGGAAAGTCCCAGAAAGGGGCTTGTCCGGCACCCTGATTTTTAAAACTGTTGTCCAGGGAATACTTCCAGATCTGGTCCAGAGGCCAGCAGGGGTTACTATTGCAGCAACATGGGACCAAGCATGTTCACATACTTCACAAGCTACTGCCTGAGAGTCTGGTTTCCCGTCACCTGAAACGAGGTGCTAAATGAGGATCCTTGGATCACCGACAGGTCTTGGCACGCACTCATATAGGGTCGAGTCAATAGGAACTTATGCAGAATAAATCAGGTGATTGAGTAAATCACAAAAGTTCAAGAGATAACCAAGAATGAGGGCAAGGGTGAGCAAGAATCACCACCCACATACAAAAGGCCACACCTTCAAGACGAGGAGGTGGTTGTTCTGCCTAACGCACAGCAACACACAGAGAGAGTCAAGCAAGATGAGGAGACACCTGTGCTCCAAACAAAAGAACAAGACTAAGCGAGTCTGCTTCTCCCTCTGACCCTCCCTCTGCCCCTCCCCACTGCTCGTGCTCGCTCACTCTCACTCTCTCAAATAAATCTCTTTAAAAAAATTTTAAAAAAAGAACAAGACAAAACCTCAGAAAAAGACCTTAAGGATACAGAGATAGGTAATCTACCTGATAAAAAATGCAAATGAATGAGCATAAAGATGTTCACTGAACTTGGGGAAGGGGTGGGGGGTGGGGACTAGATGAACACGGTGAGAACTTCAACAACAACAAAACAGGGTGGTCAGAAAGTACCAAAAGGAAGTCACAGAGGTGAAGAACACAACAACTCAAATGAAAAATAGACTAGAGTGGCTCAACAGCAGAATGGATGAGGTAAAAGAAACCAGCAAGTGGGAAGACAAAGCAGTGGAACTCACCCAGACTGAACAGCAAAAACGAAACAGAATTTCAGAAGAATGAAGATACTCGAGACACCTTGGAGACAACATCAAGTGGAATCACATTCATGTTAGAGGGGTCCCAGTAGAAGAAAGAAAGGGCCGGGAAACATATCTGCAAAAACAGAGGCTGAAGACTTCCCTAACCTGGGGAAGGAAACAGACATCCAAGTGTAAAAAGCCCAGAGAGTTTCAAGTAAGATGAACCCAAAGACAGCCACAGGAAGAAACATTATCATTAACATGTCAAAAATTAAAGCATCTTAAAAGCGAGAGAAAAACAAATTTTTACATACAAAAAAATTTTTAAAAATAAAAATAAAACCCTGGGGCGCCTGGGTGGCTCAGTTGGTTAGGCGACTGCCTTCGGCTCAGGTCGTGATCCTGGAGTCCCGGGATCGAGTCCCGCATCGGGCTCCCTGCTCGGCGGGGAGTCTGCTTCTCCCTCTGACCCTCCCCACCTCATGCTTTCTCTCTCTCTCAAATAAATAAATAAAATCTTAAAAAAATAAAAAATAAATAAAAAATAAAAAAAATAAAAAATAAAAATAAAAATAAAACCCTTAAGGCTACTAGCAGCTTTCTCAGGAGAAATATGACAAGCCAGATGAGAGTGGCGTGACATATTCAAAGTGCTGAAAGGAGAACCTTCCAACCGAGAATACTCTACACCCTGCAAGGTTATCATTCAAATTTGAAGGAGAGATAGAGTCTTAAAGACAAGCAAAAGCTAAGGGAATTCATCACTACTAAATAGGCCTTATGAAAAATATTAAACAGACTTCTTTAAGCTGAAAAGAAATGTCACTAATAACACACAAAAAAAAGCACAAAAGTAAAAATCTCACTGGAAAAGCTAAATACATAGTAAAGATAATGAATTAATCAGTTATAAAGGTACTAAGAAGGTTAAAAGGTAAAACTCACAAAATTAACTAAAACTGTAATAATTAGCTGATATATACATTAAAAAAAGATGTAAAAAGTGATATAAAAAACGTGAAACTAGGTTAGCACCTGGGTGGCTCAGTAGGTTAAGCACCCAACTCTTGGTCTCGGCTTAGGTTATGATCTCAGGGTTTGAGATCGAGCCCCGTGTCAAGCCCTGCATTGGGCTCTGCGCACAGCAAGGAGTCTGCTGGAGATTCTCTCCCTCCCCCAACCCCCTGTTTGCA